TAGCATGGCTGTTTGTGGGCAGGGCTTTTAACTAAGGGGAAGTGTGATGAGTAATGTATTGTAATTCTTTGAACATGTTATAACGTTGTACATACTCAGGAACTATTTACAGGATGTGAATGTAATTGGAAGATTAATTGTTCACTGTTTGAAGTGTTAGAATTGTTAAAAAAAAACCTAAGGGGACAGCCCCCCCAAATGTCCCGCTGTGGCTACGGGTTTGACCCTCCTTTGCTTTTGGATCTTCAGATATCAGCTGTGGTCAATGGTGCCTTCTGTTGGCTGTGGCTGAAAAACAGGGAGCGCCTCTTCCTCAGAGCTGAGGAACTAGTCACAGGGCCAGGTGCTCCCTTTCTGTTGAGAAGAGAGGTTTGCTTGTAGGTGCTTATAGCCAGAGCGCTCGGCGCTGCATGAAATTGAAGTGCCAAAAATTCAGAAATGGGACCAGTAGGTCAGTGGGTTGGGATGCCAAAGCGCACCGCAACTGTCGTGCGGGTGGGCGGTGAAGCCGGGAGGGAACAGGCGGAACCGCAGGAGCTCAGGAAGGAGGCTCCGGGAGGTTTGGCAGCAAATTTGGTTCTGCCGCCATGTCAGGGGGTGAAACTGCCGTGAAACGGAGCCTGCTGCTGTATATTTTATAAGCACTAAAATGTAAACATCAAATATAATTTTTTCCGGTGTTACATGATGTGAGCTTCTTGAGTTTTATGTTGCGGTGGGCTGAGATTCCTTTGGGTAGTGAAGGGCGGGGTATAAATCCAATCTCTTCTTCTTCTAAAGGCACCTATGTTGTTCAACAGCCTCCCAGGGAATTTTCTCAGAAGGCTTCTCCAGTTTTATGTCTTCAAAGATTCTATCTGTGACCCTCCTATTTTTCTGTCTCTCTATTATGAACTAGTTTGCTGCCTTCAAGCTTTCATGGCTTTGAAACTGAACATGTTTAACAGGTGTCATGGGCCTGGATGGCTCGGGCTAGCTTCATCTTGTGAGATCTCGGAAGCTAAGCAGGATCAGCCCTGGTTAGGATTTGGATGGGAGACTGCCAGGGGAAGTCCAAGGTTGCTTCGCAGAAGCAGTCAATGGGAAAATTTCCCAAAGGCTCATGGGAATGCTTCTGAAAGACTCACCATGACCTAGGTGTGATACAGCAGGACGGGGCTAGCAGGAAGGGGGATGACTGGAAAAGTGCTGAAGGTACCACCTTTAGGGGCCCTTCTAAGCTTTCTTGCCGGGCTCGCCATAAGTCAGCTGCAAATTGATCCACTTTCCACCACCACCAAGTGTATTGTATTTTTAAACTCTCAAATTTCCTAAGAAACGCAAGAAAGTTTTTATACAGAAAGACATCTGATAAAAAGAGCAAGAGCTAAGGAAATGAACATGCAGACTAACATCACAACATGGGTTTGGTCAACTGGGAAGCCCAGGACACTCACCACAGTTGGCCTCATCCGAGCTGTCGTGACAATCGTTGTCCCCGTCGCAGATGAAGGCCGGGTTGGTGCAGACGCCTGTCAAACACTGGAACTGGCCCGGACGGCACTTGAATTCAGCTGGGGACAACAATCCAGAACGTGATGCTTTAGGAGGAGGGCCTCCTATGATGAGCTGTACGCACTGAGGACCTGTACCCCTCTGAACATGCTTTTTTTTGGTTTTCAGCCAGCTATAACACTTTCCCATAGCCTGAGACCAGCCCCTCTGCCTCGTCCCACATTCTGCTACAACTAGACACAGAGGGGGAAAGCTTCCACGCTCCGAGATGCAAGCCAAAGTGCACCAAACCTGTCACTCATGCAGGTTCACTCCCAGATGATTATACCATTGCTAATCTGGCTGGAATCCATTCTGTGGTTTAGCACAATAGGAAAACCAGTCCAGGTGCTAAATTGCTGGTCCATGCTTTTTTAAAGAAAAAATAATAATAACAAATTGTGCTAGCACGGGGGCTTTGGCTCAGGGGTAGAGCATCTGCTTTGTATGCAGACGGTCCCGGGTGCCATCCGTGCCAGCTCTGTTTAGAAGGATCTCACACCACAGGTGCTGGGAGCTGCTGTCTGGCAGAGCAGAGCCTACACAGCGACGTGGAGCAATGGCCTGACTCTGTATTAACGCAGCCTCCTGTGCCAGTATAGCAATGAGACGCTGTTCACTCTGCATAGAGCAGCCACTGCAAAGGAGGCAGGATGACGTATGTGACGGAACAGGCCTGCTTTGACTTGCAGACCCTGTTCTGCCAAGCCCCTTCCTTGGCTTGTGCCAATTCCTGGAGGGCTCTATCCCGCTTCCTTCCACTAGGGTACGCTGCCACCACTGTCCTGTTGGGGTCTTCCTGCCACACCCCTTCTCAAACTGAGGCCCTGCCTCTGATCTCCTGCTACCCAGTGCCTAGTTACCACAGGGACCAAATTCCTTCTTTTTTTGGGGGGGAGGCCTGGAGGATTGGCAATGGGTGCCTTGACTGCCTGCCTTCCCCCTTGCTGGGACTCCCCTCTTACAGTAGCGTGGTCTAAGGTGGTTGGGGGGAACCAGGTGGGCCAGAGGACACGCCCAGCTCCAAAGAGTAAAATATTTATTAAGAAGAGAAAAACGTTACAAGCATACACAGCACCAGATCGACAGCCATAAGAACAAAGAGTCCCTTACAACATATAGAGCTGGACGCACTGAATCCGATATCAGAATGGCATGCGGTATTGCCTTCCCAATGCCGGGTCTTCCCTGGTCAACAGCAGTCAGACAAGGCCAAAGGGTGACATGTTTAAGAGGTCATTGCATGCACTTAAAGCCTCAGTGGGGATTTTAAGGCGTTTCTGTGGGTAAGTGACATCAATGGGAATTTCCTACTGTGACAGGCGGGAGTCTGTCTTGCCTCTAAAGGGGAAAACTGCCACTCAGCTGAGCCTAGAGGAGTGCTGCTCCAGCATCGAATCGTGTTTTTTTTGGGGGGGATATTGGAGGGAAGTGCAGCAAGAGTCAATTTTTGGTCTGCCCTGAGCAACAGAGCAGAGCGCTGGAAGGGTGGCTTGCCTGGTAGGGTGGCAGAGTGGCTTAGCTCTGAATTTATATCCTTCAGGCACACCCTTTGCTTCACTATCAATTCCTATACATCCCTTAAAAGCGCAGTCCCCTATGATGTTATTGACCAGGTAGGGACCTCGGGGCACCAAAGCCATACCACTGTGATCCTAAGGGCCGCGTTAGAATCTTACCCCCTAGCAATGCTGCCAAAGCGGTTCCGGAGCCATTTGCCTCCAATAACCCACATCTTGCCAAGGTGATACTTCGCTGGTACCCAGGGCTTTTTTTGTAGAAAAAGCCCAGCAGGAACTCATTAGCAAAATTTATTTATTTGCCATACCCAACAGCAGGAACTCATTAGCATATTAGGCCACACCCCCTGACTGCACAGCTTATTTGCGTATTAGGCCACACCCCATGTTACCAGAATCCAGCCACACCCATCTTTTGCTTCTTATTCTCTTTACCTTGTTTGTTGTCAAAACCTAGGGCTTTTTTTTTTGGAGCAGGAACTCCCTTGCATGTTAGGCCACACACCCCTAATGGTAGCCAATCCTAATGAGTTTCTGCTGTTGGGTGTGGCCTATTATGCTAATGAGTTCCTGCTGGGCGTGGCCAACTTGGGAGCCAGCCGGAACTCCGTTCCTGTGCGTTCCTGCCCAAAAATAGCCCTGCTGGTACCCATGATAAGCGCCTCCCTGTCCCCCAAGCCTCCTCTCCCAGCTGTTCACTCACGGCAGTTCTCGGGCTCATCCGAATGATCCCCGCAGTCGTCTTCTGTGTCGCATTTCCACCAGAAAGGGATGCACTTGTCATTCTTACAAACAAACTGCCATGGGAAGGAAAGGACACGAAGCTGAGACAAGGTACGGGCCCCTTTCCCTTTCCCTCTATGGCCCATCAGAACGTCACCCGAGAAGTCACATTTCCTGTGCCAGAGACCTCCGGAAACCCTCCTAGATGAGGCCGCACCCCCATTCTCTATGCAATCAGGCTACACACTCACAGGCTACAAGGGACTCGCTGAGAGAACTGCTGATAAAGGAAGAGCACCAAAGTTAACAAAAAGAGACTTCAACACAAAGGTAATTCAACACATGTAATCCATCATAGGAAAATACAAAAGTCCACAATATCCCAAAGGGAAAGAACAAAGTCCAGAATATAAATTTCTCAAAGGGAAACAATGGAGTCTGGAATAGATATCAACACTTTTCCTAGGTATTGGTCAGTGTTTCGGACTTCTGGTCCTTCCTCAGGAACAAAAAGCCACTACAGGAAGTCTCATTGCAATTGCAGGCAAACTTTATTCAGTTTCTATATGGGCCAGGTCTCCTAAGCTTTAGAAAGCACCTACCAAGGTTGCTATTATGTAAGTTGGACCAAACATGCCTCCATGAATATCTATTCCAGACTTCATTGTATTTTCCTATTCCAGACTTTTGTATTTTCCTATGATGGATTACATGTGTTGAATTACCTTTGTGTTGAAGTCTCTTTTTGTTAACTTTGGTGTGGGTTTGTGCAGTACACAGTTGTTATTTGCTGTTTTTTTGGCCATTGTTTACTGTGGACTGTATTATTGTTGTTGTTGATAAAGGAAGAGCAAACATTTTGTTCTCTACAGGCACCAGCTCTAAGAAAAGTGGCTGTGATGATGCTCTCCGCCTTGTCGAGACCGTCTCAAGAACTGGAGTCTTCCCAACCAGAGGGGCATGGCTGTGGTCTCCAGAGGTTGCTCCAGCATGGAGATAAGACCTTGACCAAACCATGAATGGGGGGGGGCACATGCGCCCAGGGTATTGCTGGCTGATGAAGCAACATTGGCGCGCCACACTAGTTACCTGGCTGGCTGTGCAGTTGGAGATGCAGGTCTTGCCATCCGCACCCAAATAGAAGTTGGTCGGGCAAGCGCACTTGAAACCTCCGCCTGGTGACAGCAGGCACAGGTTGCTGCAGCCGCCGTTGTTGATTTTGCAGGGGTGGTTGGGAACTGGAGGGTAAAGGAGAAAAGATGCAGGAGCAGAGACGCAGGTTAGGTCAGCTGCTCTCAAGATGGACCAAAGCATAACCTATTCTCTTCCAAAGACTCCCCATACCATGGGTGTGGGTAAAATGCACAATGAAAGTCTTTTCTACGTTTAATGAAGAAACAGGGAACACACCAGTAGTTCAGAATCCTAGTGTACAGGCAGAAGGAACATAAGAGGAGCCCTGCTGGGTCAGACCAGCGGTCTATCTAACCCCGCATCCTGTCACACAGTAAGGGCCAACCACAGGGCATAGAGGCCAAGGCCTTCCCCTGATGTTGCCTCCTGGAATTGGGATTCAGAGGCTGACTGCCTCTAAACGTGGAAGAGCGCTAAACGTGGAAGAGCGGATCGAAATGTACACAGTGAGTCTGAACGGAGGAAAGTGGAAACAAGATCTAATTGTACGTTCTGTTTCTAAGTGGATTAGCTGTCATCTGGACTACTTATCTTGAAAGCCCAGGAGACACACTCTTGATGTTCTCCATGGGGCCTTCTTTCCAGGATGATATAAGCCTCAGCAGGGCGTAGAGTGGAGGTGGCAGGCCATAAGGGAAAAGAGCTCCTCCCTCTTGGCTGCCGTGGCACACAGCCACTGGAGGACTTTCCGTGCATTCTTCCCAAGTGAGTTACATCTCCAGCTGCCCACATGGAAAAGGAGACCCCGATTATTATTTTTTTGCAGAGATACCCAAACTTATGTGGTTTGAGCCCCTCTCCTTTGGCAGCATGCCCCAAATCACAGACTCCTCCTCCGCCGTGTGCTGCGTTAATCACTCTACACATATAGGTATGTACACAGCACATGCTCTTCTCATATACTTTTGTTAGTGCTTAAGCCAGGAAAGAAAATGGAAATGCCGCTGGGAGGAGACTCCACTGAAGAGTCTACAGGACGCTACCGTCTCTCTCCCCACACCGAGGAGCCATTCAGATACAGGTGCTATCTCAGCTCCTAGGTTCTTTCCCTGCCCAGATTGGGCAAGCTCTGCCCCAAATACATTTATTCTGTACTCTGCTGCCGCACGCTAGTTGACCTTGACCCCCATGCAATGTCGCCTTCCTTCCCTTTAAGGTTTCGTAGTCGAGCTAGCCCAGCACGGCACTCACCATCTGGTTGCCTGTAGGGGTGGAAGATGTGGATGTCCATGGGCCGATGCAGCGTGCTGATCAGAGTGGTTTTGTTGGTGCCGGTGGTCTTGTGGGCCCGATTGATGGATTTGGTCTCCCAGTCGGTCCAGTAGATGTAATCCTCAAAGAGTGTCAGGGCAAAGATGTGAGGAATATCCTGGCTCAGAACTAGGGTAGGAGAAGGAAGATATTCTTACAGGGTGGCAGGGACACAGGACCCAACTTGTATTAGACACCAGCTCTACTGCACACATTGAGAAGAAGAAGATCCAGATGACTACTGGCTACAGGCACACCTAGATCCAATGCGATGGACAACCTGTATCTGATTCTTCAGACGTTCAGTCCTGTGCAGTTGCCACTCATTTGTTATGGAAGGCCTCGACAAGTTTTCTTTGGCTCTAGGAGCCAGCACAGAAATTCAGGAGCCAGACTTGCGTTTCAGCCTTCAAGGTTTTGAAATGGCCATGTTTTCCAATTACTGCTACCAAAAACCTAATCCTAATCAATTCACAGTATCTCATAATTTTATTAAAACTTTCGGGGGAAAGCACTGTGATATGCAAATAAATACAGAGTAACCCTAGCTGGGAGTGAAGGCAGCATGATACAGCTCGATCTCGTAATATGTCAGAAGCTAAGTAGGGACAGTACTTGGAAGGGAGACCACCAAGGAAGGCTCTGCAGAGGAAGGCTTATGGCAAATCACTTCTATTTTTCACATGCCTTGAAAGCCCCTTGCTAGGGTCTGCATAAGCCAGTTATGACTTGATGGCACATACATGCATACAGAAAGTAGCTGGTTAAGAAATGAATTCATCCACCACCAATGAATGCTGTGAACTTAACATACAAACAAGCAATGACAAGCACTTCATGGCACTGTTTTGTGCCATTTTGATCGGTCCTAATAAAAGGCACTAAGTGGACTGTATTCTTGGTCAGGATTTTACTTTTGAACCTACATGGCTGTAAAAACAATGTCTTTGCATATATCTAAGTGACACAATATATCCCGATGTGAAGGGATAAATAAGCGTTGTACTTCCACTGAGGATCGCCAAGAGACACTACAATAAAAGGTGCCCCAATGGAAGTTCTAGACACAATGGATTTGTTGAGTCCTGTGTTATGTGCAATCCACATGGCCCTCCTTCAAGGACATGCTCTTGCTTCAAGGATCTCTCGCTCTCCCCATTTATATGTACAGGTCCCCTTAGAGATAATCCAGCCCCAGCGTCCTATCTGTTCCACATTGAGAATCCCAAGCAAGGAAGGGCTTTTTCCTTAGCGAGGAGTGCCTCCCTGACGTCTATGGTTTTAGAGGGTAGATTTAACAAAATCCCCTTCTCCCAGTACACCAAACTGGCTTTCAGTTCTCTTATGGAGAATTTGTTCCTTAAGGGTCACATTCTGCTCAGCATCCTTCTCATCCCACAGCTGGCTGTGCTATCTAAAGGAACGTGAGCCTCTCTGCTCAGCCTATCCCGCATATGAATTATAAGCTCCAGGGCTCTGGCATGCCTCTCACCTATGTGCCGGTTGGAGCCATCCAGGCTGGCGAATTCGATGTAGTCCTCCCGGGCATCGGCCCAGTAGATGCGGCCGTTAATGTAGTCCAGGGTGAGGCCGTTGGGCCAGGTGATCTTGGTGTCCACGATGACGCTCCGGTTGGTACCATCCATGCCGATCTTGCCAATCAGGGAATGGTCACCCCAGTCTGTCCAGTACAAGTATCTGGGAGAGAGCAGATGGTAAAGTCAACACACTGGACTACAACGGTGATCACTCCTCAAGTGGTGAAAAATCCAAAGATGTGCCCTGCATGCACCATTCATACAAGCAGGGGTTTTTGATTAAGGTGGTTTCCACAGACTTGCACGGTTTCCCCATTACTGCTGTGGCTGCTGGCCCATTGTCAGTGTGGCTGCCAATACAGTGGAGTGACAACAGTTTCCCTGCCCCAGTCCCTCAGCAGTAGCCATCCCCATCTCCTAGGGCTCAGGTTTTTATTTTAATCAGCAACTGAATATTGCTATATCAGTACTCTGTTATGACAATGTGTGTATCAGGTTCTCTGAATTCCAAGCTTTCATTAAAAAAAAAATTAAGTCTCTAGCACATTTTGTTTTGGAGATATCCCTTTCATAAGAACATAAGAAGAGCTCTGCTGGATTAGATCAGTGGTCCATCTAGTCCAGCATCCTGTCTCACACAGTGGCCAAGCAGTTCCTCTGGAGAGTCAACAACAGGGCACCAAGGTCAAGGCCTTCATGAGAACATAAGAAGAGCCCTGCTGGATCAGACCAGTGGTTCTTCTAGTCCAGCATCCTATCTCACACAGTGACCAATCAGGCCCTGTGGACAGCCAATAACAGGGCTCCAAATGCCCTTATTTGCATAGAGACAGGCATGATTACGGTTGAGGCAAAACTATAGACTGCGGTGACAATGTTCTGGTTAAAGCTAGCTTTTCTACCCAAGGGATTGACAAAATGGCGAGCCTTCTTGGCTCCAGATAACAGAGTAATCCCTATGCCTTACCTTTCCCATTTATTAAATCAGGACTACAGAAGAATGTTTACACTAATGCGTAGGGATGTACTCCCATCTGCGGTCCTGGAAGGAAAATTTAACAAGACTCCTTACGAAGAAAGGATATGCCCCTGTTGTGCGGATGGTATTGAGTCTGTAGAACATGTAATTTTTTTTTTTGTAAAGAACATAACAACATCCAGGAGTCTCTTCCTTTCCCTAAGACACTCCCTCTCTCTCGCAGGCAAATAATCTGCCTTTTAAGAAATTTGCTATCGGATAGCCGGGCAGAAGTTACTTATCGGGTGGCTAGGATCGAACGGCTTGCCATAAGAATTAGAAAATCTATAGTCGCTCGAAAATAGGAGAATTAAGATTAAGTTTTATTCATTTTAACCATTATGGTTTTTATGGTGTTTTTTATAGCCAGTCTTAAAATTCTGTTCCTATTTTAATGTGATATCTTTTACCCATGTTACAAAGCAACATTGTTTTATGTGTTGGTCAATGACTGTGAATAAAAGTTATCTATCTAACCATAATGCTGTGTGGAAGCAGGAAAAAGCCCAGCAGCATCGATCCCAGTGCAAACTAGGGCTGCCAAGTGGGGGTGGGGGGCGGGGAAACCCCCGCTTTGGAGGCCCAATTTCCGCCGTGGCGGAATCGGGCCCCGGGGGGAACTCCGCCCCCCAAAGCGCCACATCGCTCACGTTGGGGGCGTGGCCCAGATCATCGGGGGAAACCATATGGTTTCCCCCCCGACGATCTGGGCCATGCCCCCAACGTGAGCGACGTCGCACGTCACTTCCGTTGACGTGCTGGCGGCGTGCGCGCATCCGGAGCCGGTTCCCGGACCCGTCGGCGCCTCCCCCGCCGGTGAGTTTGCGGGACGTGGCAACCCTAGTGCAAACAACCAGTGTGGAAATGGCCTGTGGTTCATACAGACCTCTTCGAAATATCTAACTGCCTCCTCAGAGGTAGAAACATTATCCAGAATCAGAAATGTGTTCTGGTTTTCAATATCCTCGTTCCCTCCCAGGTCATACTAGTCTCTCTTCCCTTTGCATCCCATGAAATGGGATTCAGGTTCCATTTCACTTAGGTTCCACTTACCCCTGAGCCTCTCCCCACTCCTCTGACATCTCCGTGAAAAAAGAAACAGAATTTGAGAGCAACGAAGCTGATCTGAAAGTTAATGCAAGTACTCCCTTGGGAGGGTCGTGGTTGAAGTGCAGACAAGAAGGTAACGGTGGTGTAGATTAAACCTGGATGCCCCCTAGACTGGTTATAACTGGGATGGTACCTGGAGAGATATGACAGACTCACCCGTGCTGTACATCCACCACCAGTGCCCTGGGTTCCCGCAGCCCTGTGTTCACCAGCACGGTGCGGTAGGCCCCGTTGAGCTTTGACACTTCAATGGTGTCTCTTCCTTTGTCACACCAGTATAAGTTTCCACCCACCCAGTCCACGGCCAGCCCGTCAGGGTTGCTTAGCCCGGTACGGTGCAGAACCTAGAAGGACAGGAAGCAGAGAATGGCATGAATCAGACAAGGAACTGGATTGCTTGATCTGGTCAAAGCTACCTTTGACCTTTTTATGGATAGGCCTGTTACCCAGAATGCACTGCAGCTGGCAATGCCAGGAATTTTGTTTCTCCCAGGGGGAAAAAACAACTATACCAAAATTCTGCCTATACATGGGGTGTAGTGGAAGAAGGAGGAGGACGAGATTGGATTTATACCCTGCCCTTCACTAACTGAAGGAGTCTCAGAGCGGCTTACAATCCCTTTCCCTTCCCCTCCCCTCAAAAGACACCCTGTGAGGTAGGTGGGGCTGAGAGAGAGCTCTCTCGAGAACTGCCCTTGAGAGAACAGCTCTGAAAGAACTTGTGACTGACCCAAGGTCACACCAGCAGCTGCATGTGGAGGAGTGGGGAATCAAACCTGGTTCTCCCAGACTCTGTGCTCGTAACCTCTGCACCAAACTGGCTCTCTGGTTTGGTTGCACAGGAGCTGATTCTGAGCGTACACGCAGAAACAGAGTTGTAAGAAAGTGGAGGTACAGTCACACACCTGTACATTGCTGCCATTGATGTGCATGCGGCGGATCATGCTGCCTTGCGTGGTGACATCTGTCCAATAGATCATTTGTTCCCGGTAGTCGAAGTCCAAAGCCACAGCATTGTTCAGCCCCTAAACTCCCCAAGGGAGAAAGACAAGTGTTAATTCTTGCGCTGAGCATACGGTGTCTAGATAACGCTGCAAAGGACACTGTCAGTCAGGATTAGACTCTGCTCAATATAGGCAACAGAACTCTGCACCCACGATATGGTTTCAAGCAAACTGTAAAAAAGTCCTTCCCAAACTCCCAACAGCTGGTGCATGTGTTCCTGAATTACAGTGGGAAGGCATAACTTAATCTGTTGCCTGCAAAAGTTTACTTTTAGAGCATGCTCTGTTTCTGAATGAGTCACTGTTCTGGGAATGCCACTGGATTAGAAGCAGGCATGCCCAGATCAGTGACTCATGCAGGGATGCACTGGGTAGCTTCCTTTGAGAACAAGCAATGCTGCTCCATCTTTATATTATAAATGATCCAATAAGGTGCAGCAGAACCACTGACTGGAAGGAAGGAGAACCAGGAGGCTGCTAACGATGCAGGGTGGTGCTTTGCACCGAAGTAAACCCTTTTCAAGATATAATACTCCACTGTTAAATAGGGTTATCTTGACAAGGCTTAAGCTCCAAATGTAAACTATGGCCACCATCAATGTCCCATCTGCTCCCAAAGCATCATTGCTCATTGGTCAGACCACTGGTCAGTCTAACCCAGAGCTGTCTGTTCTAGCAGCAGCTCTCCAAAGTTTCAGACAGAGAGCGGTCTCTCCCAACACCTGAGGTCCCTTAAAAAAAAACACAAAAAAACCCCCCACACTATTTATTAACAGTATTTATGGATAAGAATAACCTTAATCGATTACAAGAAAAATATGAACAGTTATTTAACTATGAGTGAGAAAACTATTAATACCAATAACCAGCGGTGCACCGTAACACTTGGATCAGTGAGTATTTATGCAATAGCATCATATAGGATTTGGACATTCGATGATGTATTTAAGACACTATAGATCTGACTGCTTAATAAACGAAGTTAGGGCTGTATTTCAAGAGGCTTTTGCAGATTTGTCGCATGGATCTGTAAACAATTTTTTTTTTAAAGTCAGCCAGCTATTTCTAAAGGTAGTTTTGGAAGACGGATTGTCAGTAGATTGGAGCGGGGGGGGGGGATTCTGTCAAAGATCAAAGGCCAGGGACTGAACTTGGGACCTTCTGCATTCAATGCCCTGTATTCTGACCTATGAGCCAAAGCTGTGGCTGAGGAAAGAAACTGAAGAAAGGAGGCATAAAGATGATTGGAAGGAGAATGAAATTGGCACATTTGTCTCCCATGATCCTGTCTCATTCCTGTAGGATAGGTAAGGAAGTAAAAACAGCCCCCCCCCAAGGACCTGCTCCCTGCCCTCCGCATTACCTGTTTCAGGGAGTACAAACATCCCCCTTATAATCTGCTCCCTGCCCTCCCTATTACCTGTTTCAGCAACGTGTAGTTGGAACCATCCAGGCTCAGCTTCCGAAGGTAGTACCGATTAGCAAAGATCAGGAAGGGCTCGTCATCTGTGAAACAGAGACAGGGATTGGGTTAGAGTCAGGCCAGATAACCATCGCAAGGACGGCTCTCAACTCTGGAGGTGCTCAGAGCTCCCATTCGGACAGTGATTTCTGGCATCTCGTTTTCATGTTTCAACGCAAACAGCTGGAGAAAGGCCTCACGCCACAAACAACCATGGCTTAGATGCCTCTGAGCATTTGGTACGGTCCAGTTTTGCATCTACCACCCATCAGGCCAGCCCCTTTAAGTTCTCTGGGTGTGGGTAGTTGAAGGCTATGCTCAGAAGTTGGACCAGGCTGGAGTGTACAAGGACGGCCCATGAGAACTGTAGAAAGATCTCCCCCCTGCAATAGCAGTACGGGCTGCTGGACCGAGGCTGCCGACGGTCACCCTGTGACCTGATTCTCCCCCCAGCTGCCAACCCAGGATGGGGCCTGTGGGGCTGCTGGCAAACAGGAGAGGGAAGGGACAGTGGTGTCGGGGAGTCCTCCGGGTGGCCCAGAGAGTCAGGGGGCCTAGGTTGCATAGGAAGTTGTGGGGCCTTGGCAGGAAGTCAGGGGGCCAGGCCCCCAGGAGGCCCCACCGTAACTACGGGCCTGGCTGGGGAAGGAGTTTGCTAGCGCATTATGTTAAAGGAAAGGGGAGTGGAAGAAGGTGAAGAGGTAGCTATCAGAAATGTTGAAGAGACGGGACTGGAACCGGGACCATTTCTGCAGTAGTGAAATTCCTAACATTCTTCCAAAAATGTGGGGTAAGGAGGAGAAAACTTCGAGTTTGCGCCTGGTGAGGAAAAATCTACTGCAAAAAATTCCACGTAACGTGGAGTTTTAAAAACATCAACGTGGGGGATTTCACTACTGCAGAAATGGTCTGGGAAGACCCCGATCTCACTCGGCTAATTAGTATAGATCTGTTTGTGGAGGAAACAGGAGAAGTAATCCGGTATGGATTCTGTCCCCAGCCGACAGAGAAGGACCAAGAAATACAAAACACATGAAGCTGCCTTATACTGAATCGGGACGATTCGTCCATCAGGATCAGTCTTGTCTACTCAGACTGGCGGCGGCTCTCCAGGGTCTCAGGGAAGAGGTCTTTCACATCACTGGAGATACCAGGGATTGAGCCTGGGACCTTTCTGCATGCCAAGCAGATTATCTGCCGCTGAACCACGTTCCTTCCAGCTTATCATTCAAGAATCCGATGGCTGGATAGACCCCACAAAAGCCCAAAATTCCCAGTCAGGGAACAAAGGGAGCCATCTGTTTGATGCTGATCTCTAGTAGGACATTGGCAGCTCCTCACCTGTGACAGCTTTGCAGCTGGTGGGGTCGTCCGGCTTCACCATGTAGCCGTCCACGCAGAGGCACTTGAAGCTTCCCATGGTGTTGTAGCATACCTGGCTGCACGGGTAGGTGGTTGTGCACTCGTCAATGTCAATGCAAGTCTTCCCGTCATCCTTCAGCCGGAACCCAGGGCGACATCTGCACTGCAGGGGGCAGCAGAAAGTCATTACAGGTATATGGGCAGTCTCCTGGGGCGGGGGAGGTGGGGCTCCTCCGTTTTGTTACATGTGCAAACGTACCTCGAGGCAGGTTGCAGGGTGCACAGCCAGAAATGGTGGCTTTGTGCTCTAACCTAACATAATGTCATCTCCCTCTTGTGGGTTTATTCTTATAAACAATTTTTGGAGGGGATGTCACTGTTGCGTTTATTACACATTTAAGATGATAGTTCAGGGCTGTCAAACATGCGGCCCGGGGGCCGGATCAGGCCCCCGAGGGCTTCCATCAGGCCCGCAGTGGAACTGGCCATCTCCTGCTTCCAGTTCTGCTGCTGCTGCTGCATCATAGCTTGCTTCACCAGACTCTCTTAAACACTCAGCCATTTCATGTTTTCACCTGGGTCCTAGACTCTTGAGCATGACATTTCTGTGGTGAATGTCAATAAATCAAAAGTAGGTTTGCAGTTTACAGAGCTAATGTTTTAAGCATGTTTTTATTTTAAGTTTAAAACAAATCTTTGTGTTTGTGCCCTTTATAAAGTTTATTCATTTATATCCCCGCTACCCGGCATTACGTTTTATGACACACATGGCCCGGCCCAACAAGGTCTCATTTATGTCAGATCCGGCCCTCGTAAGAAATGAGCTCGACACCCCTGCTCTAGTTCTTATCCTTATAGAGAGGGAAGGATTTGGAACCTGGGAGTGAATCCTGTTTCTCCTTCCTCCTATGGCAGACACAGCTGGAAAGGTCCCCCTTTTGGTCTTGGACCATTGGAGGTTGCCAAAGTGGGAAGAAGCCCTTTATTCATTAATCAGAGGTCCACTGCGAGACGAAAGGGAAGGGAAGAAAAGCACCACCTCCAAAACGATCATCACCCTTAGATGGTCAAGAAGCTGCAGCCCTCCCAGTTGCTATAATATGGGCAACTCTCTGCTATGGCTGGCGATGCCATATGCAGGGTACATGTGCGCACACTGAAGCTTTTAACTCTGCAATGATGCAAACAGGCCACATCCAGAGTGACACCCGGATGCTCAAGATAGCTTCTCATACTCCTGGCTGGGTGCTGTTGGTACATCCTGGGAAAGGGCACATTTGTCTGCCTTCAATATGACCCAAGCAATGAAAAAACAACCATGACAAAATTTTGAGCAATTGTGTATTAACTTGTACTCTAATAAAGTGCATGTATAAAAGTCCAAACTGAGCATCGACAAACAATTAAATGATAGAAAGTCCAAATAACAGAGTGTAATTCCAATACTTTCCAAAGTCCTCTAAGTTCTAATCACGGAGCTTTAATTAGCTCAATAAATTCCCATTCCATCTAGTTCAGGAAGCATTTATCAGAGCAGCTGTCCCGTCATTTAAATCAACACATTCCAATTGTTGTTTGGACATGTTTAAACAACAATTTGTAACGTTCAAACAACAATTGGAATGTGTTGATTTAATAATCAGACAACTACTCTGATAAATGCATGGGGCTCCCTGAACTAGATAGAATTGGAATTTATTGAGCTAATTAGAGCTCCACGATTGGAACTTAAGGGGACTTTGGAAAGTATTGGACTTACATTCTGTTATTTGGACTTTCTATCATTTAACTGTTTTATCAATGTTCAGTTTGGATTTTTATACATGCACTTTATTAGAGTATAAGATAATACACGATTGTTCTTCATAATTTCATCACGGTTGTTTTACCATTGCTTAGGCTTTTTACCGTGATTCTCCCTTGTGGATTCACCTTGGTTTCATCCAAACATATGAAGCTACCTTCCACTGAGTCAGACCATTCATTGGTCTATCCAGGCTGGTGGCAGTTCTCTCAGGTTTCATGCAAGGGCTTTTCCAAAATCCTTTTAACTGAATCTGGGGCTCATGGCACAGTGACAAATCTGGACCAAGTAAGTGTCTATCAATGCATTTGCATTTGCTATAATAGCATTTGCAGACTTCAATCTTACTAGGCACAGGGGTGATCTGATAAGTGCTTTATTACGTTGGTGCTGCATACGTTGTCATGATACCAGAATTTACATTTTTATTATTACGCAGGCCACTTTCTGAATGCACGGGGAAAGCACCAAAGAAAAGTCCTAATAAATAAAGAGCAGCAAACCCCTCACAGTCCAGATCACTTTGGCTCAGCTGGATTTATTCACTCCTCCTTCTGTCCAAGGGGCCTCAAAGAAGTTTACAGCATCTTTCTCCCCTTCTCCACTGTATCCTCACAAGAAGCCTTTGAGGTAGGTTAAGGGGAGAGTGACCGGCCCAAGGTCACCCGATGGGCTTCCATGGCAGAGTGAGGATTCAAACCAGGGTCTCCCAGATCCTCGGCTGACACTGACCGCTACGCCACACTGACTCAGAGTAAGTCTGACGATAAACCGAAGTGAAGAGAAACTATTTGGCCCAACCTTTTAGTTGGATAAGCTCCCCCGCTTCTGGAGAAACTACCAGGCCCAAACTTGTAGTTGAATAAGCCCCCCAATTTGAGGACAAATTACCATGCCCAACCTGGGAGCTGGGTAAGCCACCCACTAGAGGAGAAACTCCCAGGTCCAACCTTCTTTGGTGTAGTGATTGTGTGGACTCTAATCTGGGAGAATGGGGTTTGATTCCCCACTACTCCACTTGCAGCTGCTTGATGACCTTGGGCAAGCCATAGTTCTGTCAGAGCTGTTCTCTCAAGGACGGTTCTGGAAAGAGCTCTCTCCGCCCCGCCTACTGTTGTGGGGTGTCTGTTGTGGGGTGGGGAAGGGAAAGGAGTTTGTAAGCTGCTCTGAGACTCTGAGTGAAGGGCGGGGTATAAATCCAATTTCTTCTCTTTTCTTCTTGTAGCTGGATAAGGCCCCCAGCTGAGAGAAACTATCAGGCCCAGTTGTGGAGAAACTATCAGGCCCAATTTGGTAGCTGGATAAGTCCTCTAACCAAGGAGAAACTACCTGGCCTAGCCTTGTAGCTGGATAAGCCCCACACTTCAGGATAATCTATCAGGACCAGCTTTGTAGCTGGTAAAGTCCCTCACTTGAGAAGAAACTACCATGCCTAACCCTGTAGCTGGATAAGCCCCCCACTTGAGGAGAAACTAGCAAGCCAAACTGTGGTGCCAGATAAGCCCCCGAATTGTGGAGAAACTACCAGGCCCAACCTTGTAGCCGATTTTGAGGTCTTCACACTCCTGGGAGCAGCCGCTGAGCTTCTTGTTGAGGCACTCGTTGATGAAGCAATTGAGTTCGTCAGAGCCGTCAGCACAGTCGTTGTTGTTGTCGCAGAGCAGATGCTCGGAGATGCAGTTCCCATTGTGGCACAGGAAAGAGCTGCTGTTGCACTTGCTCTCTGGAATGACAAGGAGGAGTCATGCCACAGATATGCCTAGAAGGAGCTCAGTTGGGAAAATAGTGGTTTTCTTTGGTGAGTTCCTTTTCCCAGTTGTATTCCCACTGAAGCCTGTCTTGTTTTTGATACATTAACCTACTGGAAGGAGCTCAGGGCATGTACGTTTTCTGACCAAATTTCCTCCTCACGCACCGCAACTGCTCTGTATGTGGCTGGCCTGCAGCACAATTCTAACAACATTTGTACAGAAGTAAGCCTGACTGATCTCAATGGGATTTACTTCCTTATTAAGTGCATTTGCAATTGCAGATCCAAACCCCTCCCCCTAGCTCCCTCCACCAGCAAAGCTCAGACTGTACGAAGCCCATGATGCCTGAATACAGTACAAATTGCCATTTTGCACAATTTTATTTACGTTATTTATAGTACACCTTTCTCAGTGAGACTCAAGGGAGACTACATAACATATGCCAGTGCAATCAACAGAACGAGGAGGCATCAAATAAACAACTGGGAAGGGAAAGGGAAGACTGCAGAATGAAGAAATCTGGAACAAGGCATAAATATTAACGCAAGAAATGGTATTATGTATTGTGCTTTAAAGGTTCCCTTGCTCGAAAGCCAGTCGAATCCGACTCTAGTGTTGCGGTGCTCATCTCTATTTCAAAGCCGAAGAGCCAGCGCTGCCCGAAGACGTTTCCGTGGTAATGTGGCAGGCATGACTAAACACCAAGGCGCACGGAACGCTGTTACCTTCCCACCGAAGTGGTCCCTCTTTATCTACTTGCAATTTCTTGCTTTCGAACTGCTAGGTTGGCAGGAGGTGTGCTTTTTAACTGGTATATAAATAATACTGTTCCAAGTCTAGCAGGCCCCGAATTCTTTCCTCCATCTTTAGGAGGTCGGAAAGCACTGATCCTCTTATAAGGAGATGATGAGTGCTTGGGGCTCTTTAGCTTGGAGAAACGACGGCTGACATGATCGCGGTTTATAAGATTATGCATGGGACAGAGCAGATAGAGAAAGAAGTACTTTTCTCCCTTTCTCACAATACAAGAACTTGAGGGCACTCAGTGAAATTGCTGAGCAGTCGGGTTAGAACAGATAAAAGGAAGTACTTCTTCACCCAGAGTGATTAACACATGGAATTCACTGCCACAGAAGAGGGTGGCGGCTACAAGTATAGACAGCTTCAGGAGGGAATTAGATAAATATATGGAGCAGCGGTCTATCAGTGGGTATTAGCCACAAGGTATAGATAGGAACTCACAGGCTGGGGCAAGTGATGCACTGTATTCCTGGTGCTTGGAGGGGGCAACAGTGGGAGGGCTTCTAGTGTCCTGGCCCCACTGGTGGACCTCCTGATGGCACCTGGTATTTTTGGCTACTGTGTCACAGAGTGTTGGACTGGATGGGCCACCGGCCTGATCCAACATTGGCTTCTCTTATGTTCTTATATGGTGCAGGTGTCCTTAAGTTGCATCGGTTTAAGACAGATGTTGCAAAATTGTGTAATTTTTGTAAGGCTGAAGCTTTAAAGATTTAAAGCTTTAAACCTTGAAGATTTAAGTGGTCAATAGAATGCAATTCAACTGAACAACACAGAATGTAAATAGAAATATAATACAGTGAGAGCAAGATAAAATGCTGCTCGACTTTCACTATGAAGATACTACAAAATCCAAATTTCTGCCCCAGGCTGACTGGGATCCAAACTGGTCTCTGTGGGGAACCCGTCTTACCTCTTACTCCACTCCATGTTTGACAATGTAAAACTAAAAGGGGGTGTTCCTTATAGCTTATATTTCAGCATTTTTGTTATTACACCCCAAAATGCCAGAGAACGCTTCCTTAGACTTTCATCTTGGGATGCCAGCCTCCAGGTGGGACCTGGGGATCCCCTGGAATTACTGCTTCTCTCCAGACTACAGGGATGCATTCCCCTGGAGAAAACTGATGCTTTGGAGGGTGGATTCTCTGGCACTGTACCCCACTGAGGTCCCTGTCCTCCCCAGGCTCCCCTCCCCAATCTCCGTGAGTTTTCCAAACTGGAGCTGGCAACATTCTCCCTCCACCACCACGCTGGTGGCCTGGGACGACCTGGCAACCCTACTTCCATCAGATTCCATGTGATGCTGGCAAGCACCTTAGGGGCAGCAGTGTTAATAGATTAACTAGCTGAAGGCACTTAACATCTTCATTCATTCGCTGCCCCCCAAACCCCAACAGTTTATTCTCCATGTGCAATACAAGTAGTCATACGAGCCCACCAATTTCCCTTCCCCCCTAGTAGCACCTACCTGTGCCGGAGCAGCGAGGATTCTTGGGTGCCTCGTCGGAGTGGTCGTGGCAGTCAAACTCGCCGTCGCACTCCCACTGCTTGTGGCTCAGGCAGCGGCCGTTGGCACAGCGGAACTCGTTGGGGCCGCACGTGGGGTACTCTGAGGGAGAAGAGGGCAGGTGGGAGAGGAGGAGAGGTCAGGTGACGCTGGGACGGATGGCGGAAGGAAAGGAGGAAGGGTACTAGGCACGGGCACTAAGAAAAGAGGAGATCTGGAATGTCTTTACAGTCCGAGGGCTCTCCTTTAGAGGAAAATGAATCAAATTCACAAAGGAATAGTAAAAACAACTTTCTGCATGCTGTTCAGTAAAACGACTTTTAAAAAAACAAGATCACACGAAAAATTGTCTTTGTTGCCCCTTATTGGTGGTGAATGTCATTGGGGGCAGCAAATATTCACACAGCGTTTTTTGGACATCCTTCTTCTCCACTAAAATAGTGCTTTTCTCCTTTGAAAATCTAAACTAGGGAATACTCAGTACACTACCACCTCTCAAGTCCAAGTTTCAACTCTAGGGCTGCACTCACCACATTCCGGAGACTCGTCCGAATTATCGCCACAGTCGTTATCATGGTCGCAAACAAGATGTTTGGGGATGCACTGCCGGTTGTTGCACATGAATTCCCGCTCGTCACATGTATTGTTGTACACTGAAATCAGATACCATAGGTATAGTTATCTCGTTTTTGCCCGTTTTCAACAACTCAGATCCTTTCAGCAGCATAATGCTAATTCCTTAGATTTAAAGCACCTAACATGAATTCTTCTCAACTGTGACCTTTGCATCCATTCATTAGCACAGAGGGAAATTGTGGATAGATTTGTATGGCTGCTTCTTTATGTGCTAGTTTTTGCAACTGCCCCGCATCCAGATCAAAGATGAAATTTGGTCTTGTAGAACAGGCTGTGGATTTCATGCCAATGGGAACAAAATGCCTCATACGTATAAGGATGTTTTTGGGCTGACATTCTTGGGTCTCAAAATTGTTAGAAGACTACTCTGCCACTTAAGACATTTGAGGTCACACTGACTTCCAGGTGCGCAGACACACACTCACACGCACATACGAACATATGAAAAACAAACAAACAAACAAAACAAACAAACAAACAAAACTCCAAACCCAAAGAAAATTTTTTTACTCAGAACATGGCATACCTCATGACCCACCAAGTTCAACACAGCCTACCAGTTATATATGACTGGCTAGGACCGCAGAAACAGGGTAGTTGTCAAGCAGCAGGCAGACAGTAATACGGGGCTAGTGGGCTGTGTTTGGCTGGGCGAGTCACACACTGTGTAGGTCTGCATTAAAGTGCATACCCTGGTTCAATATGCCAAAACCGAAGACGAAAATTTATATTTGCTCAGGGAGATTCATTTGCCCCCTTCTGTTGCCCTATTTCGCCAGTGAGTGAAGACATTTTTGTTTCATTCGGCATTTCCTCAGTGATCCCGCCTTCTGGACCAGTGTTTTAATTGTTGTTCTTCTTTTACATCTTTGTATGCATTTTAGCTCTGTTTTTAATGGTTCTAATTATGTGTGTGTATTGGGAGGGGTTGGTTTTAAAAGGTGGCTTTCTTATGTTTTAATTTGTTAGACACCTTGGCATCCCTTGTGCTGAAAGGCAGGATATAGTTTTGTGAAATAACAATACAAACATTTAACAAAATGTGCAAAAATGAACATGCCTTGACTTTCCCAGAGTTGCAAACTAGTTCTCATGCAGGACTTTATGTGAATGGAAACTCATAAAAGCTTGTTTGAACCAGCTTGTCACAGGAAGACCGGTCACCCAGTCCAACCCTACAAAGATATCTCACCAACCTTTCGGAGTTCTTTGAAAAAGTGAACAAGCATGCAGACAATGGTGACCTGGCAGACATTACATACTTGGGACTTCGAAAGGCTTTTGACAAGGTACCTCACCAAAGACTCCTGAGTAAACCTAGGAGTCATGGGATAAGAGGACAGCTGAGAGAACTTGTGACTGACCCAAGGTCACGCCAGCAGCTGCATGTGGAGGAGTGGAGAATCAAACCCGGTTCTCCCAGATTAGAGTCCGCACTCCTAACCCCTACACCAAACTGGCTCTCCTCGTAGGAGGCTGCCATCAGACCCTCAATGCTGGGAAGAAGTAACTCACAGCAGCCGGCAGCCAGGCTTTCGTCCGAACCATCAGCACAGTCTTTGTCCCCGTCACACAGCCAGCGTTCTGGCACACACACATAGGTGTTTGGGCACTGGAAGGAACCTGCAGCACAGGTGGTGAGGCCTGGAGGAGAAAAAGGCAACAGTAAAAAAGGACAGTTAGAGAGAACATTGGCCGGTCATCCCTGAAAGAGAGAGAGGGGACGTTCCTCCCGAAAGGAAGGATTAGTTCCTGCTTTCTGCACAACTGCCTCAGTGTTTCCCAGACCTTAAAGCTGCAATCGGAACTCAAAACACTTTATAGGCTAACAGGCAGAATAGAAATTCTTCGAGTACATACATAAAACTCAGCAGTTCTGAATCCTAGCTCCTCTTTGTTCTAACCCATAACCCCCTATAGAGCCAAAGCCACTTCCTTTGTAGAACTGAAGGACGTAGTGAAAGAAATTATAATGTAGATGATACATTTCCTCACATTTAATAGTGTTAGGGAACAGATAGTTTGAGGACTGGCCCTAAGATCACCTGACCTGAATTCTAGAATATCGCTTAGACTCCTACATAAGAGTTCAGCTGCTGTTCATACCAAAGTTGTCTGAAGGAGGTCTTCATTTGTTATCCATGGACACAGAAATATCACAAAGGACTTTTCCTCCCACCCCAAAGCACTGCACATAGTGGAATGGCATGGGAAAGCACCCTATTAATTTCCTTTGAGATGACACAGTGGGTGAGTTTTATTAGAGCTGGGTTACAGAAAGAATTTGCTGTTTGTTTGTTTTTCTTTGCTGGCTTCCACTGCAGCATGCAGCTTGGTTCCTTTGTGCAAGGACCTGAAAATTTTTAGGGATTCCAGAAGAATCACGGATCCCAATAGCTGTACAGTATTTGGATCTGGGATTTTTTGGAAATCCTGAATTTTTGGGGGTCCAATAGACCTGAGAAGGAAAATGCCCGTTTAAAAAAGCTTCACCCCTTATTCTGGGGCTGGCTTGGCTTCTCCTGTTTAAATCGGGCTGCAGGAGAAGCCAGTGCAAAGCTGAGTCAGTGGGAACAGTCTACTCCCTGGCAACACAGCAGAACCTTGGGCTGTCTTCTGCAGTCCTTTAAATTTTAAAGGGACAGCAGTAGAAGCCCGACAAACAGCTGAGAGGCAACAGCAATTGGCTCCTGCCTCTCCAATGTTTTTAGATCCACCCGGGGCCTTTCCAGGAATTTTTTTTTTGGTTTTCCCAAGAAAACCCAGATACATTTGGGATGCCAAAATAAAGTATTTTTCGGGCATATTTTCGGCTTGGGTAGACCCAAACAAACACCCTTAGTTTCACCTTCCTTTTACTACATTGTATTCTTTGTAACCAACTTGAGCAAATTTGGAGTAATGGTTAAGAGTGGTGGACTCAAATCTGGAGAACCAGGTTTGAGTCCCCACTCCTCCACATGAAGCCAGCTGGGTGACCTTGGGTCAGTCACAGATCTCTCAGCCCCACCTGCCTCACAAGGTGCCTGATGTGAGGAGAGGAAGGGAAGGAAACTGTAAGCCGCTCCAAGACTTCTTGGGGTAGTGAAGGGTGGGGTATAAAACCAACTCTTCTTCTACTTACTGCATTATGGCATATCATGCCTCAGACAGTTTTTATTGCCTTAGATGGGTTTTTTGATTGCATTGTTTTCCAATTCTGTAATCCTAGTCCCACTGCACTGTTAACTAGAGGGTTTTGCAGTCTGAATTTTTTTTTTTAAATCCCTGTAATCTGTCTCGAGCCTCAATGAGAACAGAGGGCTATATATATAAAATAAACAAAAATAAAGTAAATAAAAATAAAATAAAATATTCAGCGGTAGAGTTTCACTACCCTTCTGTTTTATGTTTCAGACCTGCATGCTGTTCTGTCCTGGACCCTGTATAACCCTTAAAAGTTTGTTCTCCGTCTCCATCCCAAGACTTACTGCAACGGTGGTCTTCATCTGAGCCATCCCCGCAGTCGTCTGCGCCATCGCACACCCACAATTTGGAGATGCAGCGGTGATTGTTGCACTCAAACTTCCCGGGGAAGCAGAACTTATCTGGGGAAAAGAAATCAGGAGAGAGTCACCACTGGATAATAAAACAGAACTCTTGCCCCGCCCCTGCACTGAAACAAAACAGCTCAATTACAAGGAAATCAGTCCAAGAAACATCATTTCTGCGGGGAAAAAATGAGGAGGAGCACCTGAAGAGTCAATTAGTGGAAGCCATAAGCCCTGGTGAGTCAATGTACATGCTCAAAAGCCTGGTGCAGACACAGCACTTACTACAGTGTGTTTCATCCTCGCCGTTTTCACAGTCGTTCTCTTTATCACATGTCCAGGTCATGGGAATACACCTCCCACTTGGGCAGGTGAAGTAGTTGGCAGGGCACTTTGATTTCCTCACAATACCTGGGGAGGATGCGGGAAGAAGGAGAGAGAGAGGGAGAGAATAAGCAGGTGTGATTGAGAGCCAGTGTGGCGTAGTGGTTGGGGTAGACCTGAGGAGCCAGATTCAAATCCTCCTCCTTTGAAGAAGAGGAAGAGGAAGAAAAGGAGGAAGAAGAGGAGGAGGAGGGATTTATACTCCCGCCCTCCGCTATCTGAAGGAGTCTCAGAGCGGCTTACAATCTCCTTTCCCTTCCCCTCCCCACAACAGACACCCTGTGAGCTAGGGGGGGCTGAGAGAGCTCTCTCGAGATCTGCCCTTGAGAGAACAGCTCTGAAAGAACTTTTGACTGACCCAAGGTCACGCCAGCAGCTCCATGTGGAGAAGTAGGGAATCAAACCCTGTTCTCCCAGATTACAGTCCGCTTCTCTAACCACTACACCAAACTGGCAGCAGTGAGGGACAGGCCAGTCAATACCATGGGAAGAAAGAATCTTCTCCCTGATATCATGTCAATTTTTATTTTCCTTCTACTTTCTCCAAAACAGTGGGCATACACATATGTGAACACATGAAGCTCTCTTACAGTAACCCTGTTTACAAGTTACAGTGAATACAGGTACAATCTGTGTACAGTGTATACTTGACTTTTCTTTATACGTACAGTGAGTAATTTTCATGCTATATTCAACATATTTAGAGCTGGACATGTCAATGAAACCCCACATTTATCCAGGGTCTGGCCCCTGGTTTCATTTGTAAAGTGGACACATGTTGGCCTTTTTTTACAAAGAGTTTATACATATGCACATATGTGCTGGTTGTATGTATTTTCACTGTAACTTGGTCCATCAAAGTCAGTACCGTCTACTCAAACTGGCAGTGGCTCTGGAGAGTCTGAGGTGGAGGTATTTCCCATCACCTTTTATCCAATCCTTTTCCTACCTGGAGATGCCAAGGACTGAAGAAGAAGAGATTGGATTTATTTATACCCCGCCTTTCACTTGGAGTCTCAGAGAAGTTTACAATCTCCTTTCCCTTCCTCTCCCCACAACAGACACCCTGTGAGGTAGGTGGGGCAGAGAGAGCTCTGAGAGAATTGCTCTTGAAAGAACAGCTCTGAAAGAGCAGCTGCATGTGGAAGGGTGGGGAATCAAACCCAGTTCTCCAGATTAGAGTCCGCTGCTCTTAACCACTACACCAAACTGGCTCTCACACCAAACTGGAACTTGGGATCTTCTGGATGCCAAGCAGAGGCTCTACCACTGAGCTAGGGACACTGGGTAGGAAGGGAAGGTCCAGAAGAAACCAACAGGGAAGGGGTTACTTCTCAAGTTGAAGTCTCTCCCTTCCCAAGATGAAGTCCACTCCAATCCCCTTGGGTTGAATGCCTCTAAGGCCTTGGGCGCTCACAGGTGCAGGTGTCAGGCAACAGGTGCTCTCACCTGGGCAGTTCTGCTCATCTGAATAGTCTCCACAGTCATTGCTGCCGTCACACACCCAGGACTGAGCATAGCACAAGGACGTGTGCTCACACTTCAGGAAGGTGGTGTCTTTTACTCCCAGCTTGAAAAAGCTGCTGCAGTCCGTGGCGGCTACGCAAAGGAAAGAAATAAAAGCATGTACCATCACACACATGTGCCGCATGAGATCTACAGAAGAAGCACACTGATGCACTGCAAATACATCCAGTTTTCAGAACTCACCTCCTGGTAGGCTCGCCAAATATTGTTGACAGTGCCGACTTTTGAAATCTGGAGCATTGTTGTTTCCCCCCCCAGATTAAAAATGGAGACGCTACTCTGCTTCCGGGAGGCCCCCGTATCTATCAGCTGTAGTGCAGGCTCTGTCTGGAGAATACCCTTATTCTCCTTCATTAGCAGGATGACACCACTTATATATTGGCAGGAAAAGGGGTGTGTGTGGCGGTGGGGTCAACACTGCATGGCGTCAACACCATGGCGGGATCTGCATGGCGGGATCAACACCGCAAAAGGCAACAGACAGAATAGCAGAGACATCCAACCGGTGATGGAAAGTGCTGCCGTCACAGCCGACTTGTGGCAAACCCCCATAGGGTTTTCAAGGCAAGAGATGAACAGAGGTGGTTCGCCACTGGCTACCACTGCATAGCAACTGTGGATTTCCTTGGCAGCCTCCCATCCAAGTACTAACCAGGACTGATGTTGCTTAGCTTCTAAGATCTGATTAGATCAGACTATCCTGGGCCATCCAGGTCAGGGCGCATCCAATTGGGTGGTTTAACTTATCACAAGACCCTTTGGCGGGGCCTTGGAAACCACCACCATAACACGTGGGGGATGTTTTAAGTGCTCGTTTCCAGAGCCCCTAACTGTGGTGCACCTAGAATCATAGAATCACAGCGTCGGAAGGGACCTCCAGGGCCATCTAGTCCAAACTCCTCCACAATGCAGAAAATTCACAAATACCTCCCACCCACCCCACACCCCGTGACCCCTGTTTCATGCCCAGAAAATGACAAATCCCTGGCCAAACTGGCCTGTAGAAAAACTCCTTCTTGACTCCAAAGTGGCGATCAGCATTTTCCTGGGCGTGTAAGAAAGGGCCACAAGAACTAAGCACTGAGGCAACCCTTTCTGCCCTCCCTCTCATGACCTGCCTAAGTTCACAGAATCAGCACTGCTGTCAGATGGCCATCTAGCCTCTGTTTAAAAACCTCTGAAGAAGAAGAGCCTACCACCTCCCAAGGAAGCCTGTTCCACTGAGGAACTGCTCTAACTGTCAGGAAGTTCTTCCTAATGTTTAGCCCAAAACTCCTTTGATTTATTTTCAACCCGTTGGTTCTGGTCTGACCTTCTGGGGCAACAGAAAACAACTCCGTACCACCCTCTATAAACAGCCCTTCAAGTACTTGAAGACGGTTAGCATAACACCTCTCAGTCATCTCCTCTCCAGCTAAACATACCCAGCTCCTTCAGCCTTTCTTCATAGGACTTGGTCTCCAGACCTCTCACCGTTTTCATTGCCCTCTTCTGGAAACGTTCCAGCTTGTCTATATCCTTCTTATATTGTGATGCCCCAAACGGAACACAATACTCTAGGTGAAGTCTAACCAGAGTAAAGCGATACCATCACTTCGCGTGATCTGAATAACGGATAACCTGCATAATGGGTGGGGCTTCTTTCCATTCACATCACACAGCAAAAGTTTCTAGCACAGCAGTTGCTGCAAAGTTGCAAGCTATTTCCTTCCCCATCTGCATTCCCACCTACAGTTCCAGCTCCTACGCACTGTCACCATCACAGAGAGTGCAGTTTAAGTGCCCGTGATGTGCTGTCACAAGGAGGCACGTCAAGGGCTGGCTTGATGGGTTCTGGCATTGACGGGCCTCCTTGCTCAAGGCTTGAAGAGTGTGGGTTGGATCTGCCCAAACAGACCCAGAAGCGGGAAGCGCAGAGGAGGGCAAGGCCTATGTAAGAAACCAAGTTGTCAAGCATTTTTGCACTCCCTAGGCAACACTCACTGCAGTTCATCTCGTCCGATGCATCCTCACAGTCGATATGCTGGTTGCAGCGGCTTGAGTTGCTGATGCAGGTCCCATCCCGGCAACGGAACTCCGTGGCAGCACAGCTCGTCTCTGGAAGGAGCGGATGACAACAGTGAGACTTTGGTTAACTCGGGAGAAGCAAATCAAGAGATACGGCAATTGAGTGGAGCCTCTAAACTGCAACACAGGTATAGAGTGCTGGATGTGCAAACCTGTCTGGTAAGAAGTACTCTCTGATTTCCTAGGGACAATGGTTGCTACTCAGGTGGTTTTTGGTACCACGCAGGAAAAAAGGAAGGGGCACATTGAGCTGGTACATCTGTGGGGTTTCCCAAACCCCCAGGACCCTGAAGGGAACATCCACTAGATGTCTTCTCTTTACACAGGAAGTAACTAAAATGTGGAATGTGTTGCCAGAGGATGTGTAGAACTGGCTGGCCACTGTGTGAGACGGGAAAAGTTGGACCAGATGGACCACTGGTCTGATCCAGCAGGACTCTAATGTTCTCTGTGGCAGCCTCTCGACTGTTGAATGCGCTTCCCTACAAAGCCCACTGGGACCTCCATGAAGCCCTCCTGGGCTTTCCACAACCAGGCTATGTGGCCTTGCTCCTTTTAAAAGTCCTGTCGACTGTTTTGGTCATTTGCCTGTGCTGTGTTTTTAATGTCATTTTAAATGAGTTATTTGGGTGCGTTACTTAGCCTTTGTTGATCCAGGTTCTACATATGGGCATCATTTCAGCTGTAATTATATATATTTTTACTGTGATGCTTCATGGGCTGGCTGGGTGGACGAGCAGGGTGGAAATGAAGGAAATCACTTAAGTAAATCATTAACAGCCAGCAGTACTTCCGTCTGCGGTTCTTTGCCTAGAGGCCCTGATCGGACATAATATGTCATTATGGTTGCATTTATTTAACCACGGTGAAACACTAATGCCCAAGTCAATAAATCATAGCTAGGGGGCTGTTTCCAACCAAGATGCAAAACCACGATTTGAAAAAAGGTCTGGATCGGACCTGGTTCAGCGTTCCATCTGCAACAAGCAGATTATGGTTATGAGGCTATTTGTGCTTGTCTCCAGGATTTCGGCTGGCAGCAAGCATCTTGGCTCAGGGGCCAGCAGGGCATATATATCTGCTCTGCACAAGTATTAGGCATGGTGATATAATAAAGGAAGGGTCCCCAATAAGATGCCTGCTGGCGTCATGGTGTCCGCCGACACCTTTCCTGGTGCCCACCAAGTGTTTCTAGAAAGTGGGTGGGGCTTTGACCCAGAGAGGCTTCTGATTGGCCACTGGAGATTTGATTGGCTATGCAGATTTTTTTAAAGGCTGCTTTGGCAGCAACTGCCCCCACAACACAAGGATCTTCAAAGTGTGACTGAAGGTAAGCCGCCGCCGCCGCCGTTTTATGGCTAGCTCCACCTCCTGTGGCACCTCTTTTGTGGCAGCCATTTTGTGGCTGCACCCACCATCCTGGCTCAGAATTCCAAAGGTGCCCACAGGCTCAAAAAAGGTCGGGAACCCCTGTAATAAGAGAATCCAAAGGGTCACGTTCCAGCCTGCTGCACGGGTGCAGCTCAACGTGGCCCGCATCTGTGGAAGGAATGCTTCATGCAACTGTGGCTAGCTCTGAAAATATTGCCCAGGCCTACAAGCAGGGGTCATTTCCTGCAGGAGTGCACAGGAGCGGAGCTCCGGCAGTAAAGAGTCCAGGGGGTGGGCACATGCAACAAGCCCCACCCCCTGCTCCCAGTGGCCCTCAGTCAGAGCATGAAGCAGCCAGGTAAGTTGCAGAGCTCCCCCCAGCCCACCAGTCCAAAACAGTCCAGTGGCCCCTTTAAGACCAAGTTTTATTCAGGTACAAGCTCGCCCTCCTCTGTGAGGACAGATCTGCACGTTCCTCCCCCCCACAATAGCTAGCAATCCAAAACAGTCCAGTGGAGCCTGAGCGGTGGGTATTGCCTTCTGACACACTTCCGGTGATGTCAGGGGGTGTGGCATATGCAAATAAGTTATGCTAATGAGTTATGCTAATGAGCTCCTGCACCTCTTTTTCGACGAAATGACCCCTGCCTACAAGGGAAGTTAGAGCAACAGCAGCCCTCCCCTTCAAGAGGCCTCCCCGTTCCAAGCGCTTAACTGTTACAAGCCACTTCGTCTGAGTTGTCCCCGCAGTCGTCCGCGCCATTGCACAGGAACCTGTTGGCCACGCAGCGCTTGTTGATGCAATGGAAGTAGCCCTTCTTACACTTGCGGTTGTCTGCAACACAAAGCGAGACAGGGTGTGAGTGTGTCAGAAAGGATAGGTAGAAAGCGACACATTTCTAGCAGGGGATGCTTTACGCGGCTCTCACCCACGCTCAGAGTCCAAACAACCCCAAGAGAAATGACAAGCGTGGCCGCGGAGCCAGGAGCCAAACTCATCTGTGGGACGGGTAGCAGAGGGAGGTGACAAGGAACAGAGGAGGGAGGACGGGAACCTTACTGCAGTAGGATTGCTTCTCGTCTGACTTGTCCTTGCACTGGGCCACGCCGTCACAGGTCCGGCTGAAGTCAATGCAGTCTCCGTTCCCGCACTCGAACTCGGTGTGCACATGACAGGTGGAGTTGGCGGCTAAAAGAAGGGAGAAGAGGACCAAGTGTTGGCATGGCAACTTGAATAAAGGCTTCTGGTTCACAGGAGATGGTTCGGTGATTGCATCCGGTGTTCAGAAGGGGCAAGTGTCAAGCTGGTGTCCGTAACAACAGGTGGAATGCATATTCAGAAAAATGCAAAAGATGACCATGGTATGAATTACAGATTTATTCAAGAGGGCTTTTCTGTGCAGGTAACAGGATTGCACTGTACGAAATAGATCCCAAGCTTAACTTGGACAAGTGATTAGGGAGTGTGGTCTATACTACTGTGCATAGCTTATTGGAAGTAGGATCTCACTATGCAATTTTTGTACCACTTTAACACATCATGTGAATATCGATGGCTTCAGTTCTTTCTGGTTGGTTCCAGACTTCTAAAACCCCAATGCATTGGTTATTGAATGTCCTCATTTTGTTGACTCTACTGACTCACTATGTATAATTGGCCTTGAGTCCCTGTGAGAAAGCTGGACTATAAGTAATGCAAATGAATAATAAAAAAATATAAAAGTCCTGCATGTGAAGAAAAGCACGGAGCGAAGCTGTCACAGCTAGAAGAACAACAAGCATTCACCGTGAACCTCTGGTTAGGGCACACTAATGGTGGCAAATTGTTGGGTCAGGAGTTCTGGCAGATTCACGGGTCTTTCTCTCCCAAACTCGGGGCAGATTCACGGCCAGCCCGACACGGATCAAGAGATGCAAGGAGTTTCCAGGATCCCACCGGGACTTACAAAGGTACCCCCTTTGATCTTCTTCCTGCAGTCTGAACTGTCTGTAGACTGACTTCCTTTCACCTCTCGGCCTGCCTGTACCCAGCCCGTATGCGCCACTCACCTGAGATCACTCCGAGTGGGGTTAGATCCTACCTCTCATCCCAGCACTCCACTAAGCAAAGTTTGAAGCTTTCCTCCAGCCTGCCTTCCTCCAAGGAAGAGCCCCTTAAATGGGAAGAAGGCTCCTTAGGCTGGGTGAAGACTCCATGGAGGATGTTTAGATCCACTAGAGCAGGGATGTCAAAAATGTGGCCCAGGGGCCGGATCAGGCCCCCGAAGGGCTTCCATCAGGCCCGCAGTGGAGTTGGCCATCTCCTGCTTCCAGTTCTGCTGCTGCTTCTGCATCATAGCTTGCTTCGCCAGACTCTCTTAATCACTCAGCCATTTCATGTTTTAACCTGGGTCCTAGACTCAGAGCTCTTGAGCATGAGATTTCTGTGGTGAATGTCAATAAATCAAAAGTAGGTTTGCAGCTTACAGAGCTAATGTTTTAAGCATATTTTTATTTTAAGTAAAAAAAAATTGTGTTTGTGTCCTTTATAAAATTGTGTTTGTGTCCTTTATAAAATTGTGTTTGTGTCCTTTATAAAATTGTGTTTGTGTCCTTTATAAAATTGTGTTTGTGTCCTTTATAAAATTGTGTTTGTGTCCTTTATAAAGTTTATAACTCCGCTACCTGGCATTACCTTTTATGACACACATGGCCTGGCCCAACAAGGTCTCATTTATGTCAGATCCAGCCCTTGTATCAAATGAGTTCGACACCCCTGCACTAGAGTGACTTTGGCCGAAAACACTATCTAAATGGATGCTTTGCCAAATTTTCACACAATTCGATTTTCAACATGTAGGTACTGAAAAAAATGATCGAAAGGTAGAAGCAATGGCTCCCAGCTCTGCATAGCATAAACACTCATGCCTTTGTCCAGCAAGCACATATTTTAAAGGAACCGACTCATCCCCCTACCTACTAAATATTCACACATCTGTCTGTGCCCTTGCCAAGTGCTCACCTCTGCAGCTAAGATCCTCCTGAAGGGTCCTCTCGCCAC